TCATAAAAATAGGGATCCTCGTGGGGATCCCGCGGGATGCGGGATGAGAAAAATGAAAATACACCCATCTCTACCCCGTGAAAAAGAATATTTCTCCCAGTCCAGCTCTTATGGCGGGATCCGCGGGACTGGAAGAAATTACCGACCCTAATTGCGGACCCCATTCTCTATTTACGGGAAAGTTTTAGCCCAGTTCAAGTGCATAAAACTAATAACCCAAACTGGCCCTTCGTCTTAGCCCACATTTCTGTCATGGGCTAAGGCCCGACTTGAAAAGACCAGGTGGAGCGGTGTTCACCTCCTTTGGGAACCTGGCACAACCCCATCCAGCCACTCGTCTTTCTTTCCCTTTAATTTAATTTAATTTAAAGAAAATAATTTAGAGAAAACTTTTATTGTATTATTTTTTGGTTTTTTAATTTTTATTCTAAAAAATATAGGTTAAAGAGTGTAATAAATATATGATGCACTAAAATCACTCTAAAAGTGTATTAGTTACTTTAAATAATGTGTCGAATCCATAAAAGTTGTAATTAATTAAGTATTAAAAATAATTAATTTAAATTTATTTGAACAATAAAAAAAGCTTTAATTAAAAATAATAACAAAACATATCAATTAAAATAAAACTAATTAAGATATGAAGTATTAAGGGATCCACTTTACCATTATCAATTAACATAGATTTTAAATTATCATACTTTTAAAATGTTACTATTCATGTGACAATAAGATTTATTATCTTATTTAATATACTTTCTCAAATTATATTAAATCTCTCTTTTTTTATTAACTCATTGTATTTTTCTGTGAATTTAAATAAATAAAAATGTATTATATTATGTAAAGTTTGCATAGCTTTTATTCAATTCATGATATATATTATTAAAAGTTATTGTATAAAATCTCCTTTCAATCTCAATTATACTTTTTATATCAATTTTAATAGTGGTCAAGTATTAAAAAATATTTAAAATAATAATATATATTCATTATGAAATAACAATTTGAAAAGTATAAAAATCATAAATATTTATATTGAATTAATTAGGTTATATAATAGTTCTAACTAGCTCAGTTCATAATAAAAGTAAGTAAATATAAAATAATAAATAAAAATAATATTAAGAAAATAAAATTTAACTTGAGATAGTTAAAATTTTTAATCTTTAATTATTGATAAATCATTTATATTGATTTTTAAAAATGGCCAAAGAGGAGTAGAATTGAGATTGACACCAAAATAACAAACATAGACCTGCTGAAATCGGCGAAGGGGTGGACACCTTCAACTAGGTACCTACACCTTTTGTTAAGCGCCGACACCACCTTTTTGGCCTCCTCCAACGCAATTCTTGTTAATGGTAAAATGACAGTCCTGTTCTCTAACTTTTGAATTCCACCCAAGTTAATCCTTATGTTTCTTATCTCTGGAATTTGGTGATAAAAGTTAAAATTTCTTCCAAATAAATCATTTTCTGCAAAATATATATATATGTAAAATTAAATAAAATCTCATAAAATTCATACAAATATTAATAATATCCACAAAGAAATTTTACATTAATATATATAAATTCAACTGATTAATATATTTTTTAAATTGATTTATATAAAAAATTATAAAAATTAAAATATATTTTAATATCACTTATACATAAATGGTTTTAATTAATTAATTAAATTAAAATTAAAATTTATATTTTTAGTAAAAAAATAATTATAAAAAATATATTTATTATATTCTTATTTTATATTTTTAAAATATAAATACAAGATAACAAAAATTTTATTTTTTATATATTATTTAAATAATAAATTATTTTTATTTAATTAAAATTTATAATATTTCATATATTTATTTATTTAATAAGATAAAAGAATTATATAAAAAAGATTGTTTCTGAAAGACTCCAGTGGTCCCCCACCTCAGCAGATCCCAGCTCCACGGCAAGAATTCTCACCGTAGAAGTTAGAACTTCCCTGTCTCCTTGCATCCTCCTCTCAGCATCTGTCATTTTAGGGTTTCGCAAGATTTCCAATTTTGTTCTTCTTCTTTACTTCGATGATGACAAGGGACCGACGATGTTACAGTCCCAAAACCCGCTCGCCGCCTCTCCGGGCAACTCGCTCTGGACCGGTCCGGACGATGCCGGGCTGGTCTAGAACGGCAGTTTCCCCCAGGAGGAGGGAAGAGTACTGTGACAAGAGTAACTATCACTGTGATGATAGAGACATTTGCATTCAACGGTTATCTGAGTTTAACGAATCCTTGCGGCGTGGGGAGTCTGCGTCGACCAAGTTCCGGTGGGACCAGCTGTTGGTCCAAAAAGCTGGAAGAGTGGCGGCTACCCATCCAGACTACGAGAATGAGAGGATCACAAGCTGCTCAACGAGTCCGATGCTTAGAGACGAAAATCAGTATGCTGATCGTCGCTCTCCGTTTGGGTTTAACCCACATTTGAGTGAAAGAGATTCGGGTCTGAGAAACAATGGGGATGATTTTGGGCACCGTAGAGGATTATCCAGAGAAGATAAGCCTATTGGCAACTACTGTGATGGTTCTTCACCTACGGTGCCAGCGTCTGCAAGGGTTTTAAGGGGTAACCCAGGGTTTGGTTTTTCGTCTGGAATGTTCAGTGCGCATGGGGAAATGGGTGGCTTTGATGGGTGTGGCGGGAAATCCATTTTGAACCCTTCTCGAATGCCTGAAGTGGGTTACCCTGAGTTGGAAAGTTATAGGCATGTGGGTTGTGGTCCTACAAAGGAAATTACTGAATTGCCGTACGGAAATGTGGTCAGGGGTAGACTAAGAGATGGCATTGTGGATTCTTCGAATGCAGAAACTTTTGTTGGGACTGGTAGTTGTTCTTCAAGAGATGATTTTGAGGAGAACACTGCATTGAGTCATCAGCATAATCATTGCTCTTTATCTCCAAATTACCTTGATTTGGGTGGAGGATCACTTGTGAGGGAGCAAGATGAGGAGGTTCTGGATTCTAAAACGATTTATCTTCAGAACCAAAAGGGGATGGCTTTTAGCCGTGAAGGGTCACAATCCAGAACAGATGAGGAGTTTCTGCATTCTAGAATGACTCATCTTCAGAAACCAGAGGGAGTGTTTTTTGATGGTGAAAGCCAGCTTCCCAGACAAGATGGAGAGGAAGTTCTGGATCCTCAAATGATTTATATTCAGAACCAAGATGTAGTGGGTTTGGACAGGGAAAACCTGCAGTTGAGAAAAGATTATGGCTTGGGAAGCTATACTCTGTCACAGCATTATGATCATGCATATGTGAGTGAAGGTAACCCTCGACAGATGTTAGTAGCAGAGAAGCTAATCATTGGGAACCAATCTCATAAGGGACGTATTATTGATTTGAGACAGGTTAAAGAAAATCAAAGAAGTGAAGCTCTACAAAATTCAAATGCCCTTGATGACATCCATATTATGAACTATGGGGATGAAAAATACGCTGATGAAAATAACATGCAGTTACAACAATTAGAAGTCTTAGGCTTCATGCAAAACCAGGATTGGAGGGCATTGCAATTTGATGAGCTTGTAAGCCAAAGATCACCTCCTCGAAGGTCAGTTTTTGAACAAGGGCGCTTGAGCTATCCTATCAACTCATCTACTAGAAAAAGTGCAAAGGAGCGACTGGGACTGCCTCAATATGTTTCTAATCCAAAACCATTGCTTTGGCTTAACTCACTGAAACGGAAGAAATGCCAAAAGGAAAAGTTCAATGATGTTCATGATAATCACGGTACTGTCCATGCTCAATGGCATGACTCACCAGAAGTTGATGAGAAACGTGCAAAGACTGAGCCGCCTGAGGACACTAAGGAATTTGAGCAGCTAGTACATAATGCTTTTTTGAAGTTTATCAAAGTTCTGAATGAGAACTCAGCTAATAGAAAGAAATACGTCGAGAAAGGAGGAACCAGTATCATAAAGTGTTGTGTCTGCGGCAGGTCAGTCATCTACACTATTAGGTGCTTAGAAGAAGACCTTTTTTTTTTGGATCCTGAGGGGATATTAGAAGAAGACCTTATTGAACTTAATTATATTCTTCCCCCAGTGACCAAGGACAATTCTGATAAAAATTTTTGGTTGCTACTGCCTATATGTCTAGGTGATTTCAACCAAATTATAGAAATGGCGCTTCCTAGATATCCATATATTAGTTACAGGGTCCTGCAGTATCTTTTATGTGCATCCTAGAGACAGAGTAAATGTGGAACTGTTTCATTTGATTGCCCATGGTTTGGCAGGTTGCCAATATTTGGCTTTTAATAGTAGTTGCTGTTTATTGAATGCTGATGACAAATTTTAAGGTGATAATGAATGTTAGAGTTTATAAACTATTCATGTTATTATGGGGTCATCTTTCGATTGGAAAAATATGTTGCTTTTAGGATCTTGGTTTCAAGAGTTTCCATACTTTTAGAGGAGAGTATATTATACAGTTTAAGTAACATTTGTTTCTCTTTTATTGCCATGGTTTCGATAACTTTCTAGTATATTTTTCTTCAGAAGGAAAATAGGAATCCATTATAGCCTGAGCCCTGCATGCCTCTGTTTTACATACCATCTTGGCACCACTATCTTTAAAATCCTTACCTGGGTTCTGGAGGATTTTTTGGTGAATAGCTTTTGACAATTTTTTTTATTGGTAGTATAGCTTTTGACCTGATGAAGCAGGTTATTGTTTCTTTTTTAACTGATGCTTAGTAGTTTTGTAATTTCTGATTTGGCTTCAGAGTGCTTAATGAATGCTTGACTTCTTGTTTTATTAGCATCTCCAAAGAGTTTGTGAACACGCAAAGCTTGGTAATGCATGCCCTCTTATCTGGTATGGTGGGGCTTAGAGCAGAACACTTGGGATTGTACAGAGCACTGTGTCTGTTGATGGGTTGGAACTCCGTGACAACTTCTAGTGGTTCATGGGTTCCGAAAATGTTGCCCAACGCTGAGACCCTGGCTATGAAGGAAGAACTTATCATTTGGCCTCCTGTTGTGTTCATCCATAACAGCTCCATAGCAAACGCCAATTCAGATGACCGGCTGATAGTAAGTATTGAAGAGCTTGGGGCAATTGTTAGAGGTCAGTTACCTTTACACGAATGGTCGGTAGTGGTACAACTATAATGATTTTCAGATTGCTCTTGTTGGTGATGGAAGGGGTGTTCTACTCAGTCCTCATCTAACAAGGGATATGTTTTTGCATCAGACAAATGCATGAAACATATTTTATATTATCGTTATTATACATTGTCATAAAACATTCTGAAGATGAAATCTGGTAAAAGTGTTTTTCTGACAACTGCATGGTCCAGGTTCAAGTTTTAAAAACAGCCACTTTAGCATTATGATAAGGAGTAGGATTCTTTCCAATTCACCTTTCCTAGCATCAGTGGTGCCATAACCGGGTATTGAATTTTGCCCATGAATCATTCTGAAAACCAATTGTTTCAAGAACTTTTAACTTCATTACATTAATCATATAACAACTTTTGTGTGGGCAACTTGAAGAGGGCCAGGTCATCTGCCATTTGAGAGGTCTTTTCTGGATATAATGCTTAAGAATCTGCTTGAGACATTTATGGCCTCTCAAAGCAACCCTGCTTTTTTATATATCCTAATGGTTGGGGTACTTCTTTGCAGGACTTATTCTCTTTTATGTGATGTTGTTGTGGTTTGTCCTGTCTTTGTTCCCACCTCTGTTCAATATTGCAGGCATGGGATTTAGCCAAGGGATAGACAAGGTATGTCGTGGGAAACCTGCAAATCAAAGTATTATGGTAGTAATGTTCCATGGAACATTTTCTGGACTACAAGAGGCGGAGAGACTTCACCAACTTTATACTGAGAACAAACATGGTAGGGCTGAGTTCCAACAAATCAATTCTCGCAGCAGTGGAAGTGGCGAAACGCAGAAAAGGCAAGCAGACAAGGTCCAAACTATTTTGTTTGGCTACTTGGGCATTGCAGATGACCTGCATAAGCTTGATTTTGAGACTAAGAGACGATGTGTGGTCAGAAGCAAGAAGGAAATCCAGGCCATTGCAGACATGAGAACTCGATCTTTCCATATGCAGTAAGATGCAAGCAGATGGTCAGATGGTCTCAAATTTTTGGTTTTTACACGTTGCATAGATATAGATTAAAAGTACCAACTTTCCTTTTTTGTGCATCATTGACAGAGTTGGGTTTGTTTTAGGGATGTCCTATTTTGTTTGCAGTCAGATGTTCAGATGGTTTGGTTGTCTGAATAGAGCATTTCAAACATTTAAGAATATCTTTATTTTGATTCATTTGCTAGAATAAAAATGGCAATCAAAATTAC